ACACCAGCGTAGATAGGCTTGTAGTCGGAGCATGCACCGTCTACAACGACTTTGATGCTCCGATCTGCAAGGAAGCTGGTGATCCAATTGCACAATTTCTCAAAAAGCCCATAGAAAGGGAGCTTTGAAAGAAGCGCTTTGTGTCAAACCCGATCGAAGGCCTTCGCAATGTTCAAACTAACGGCCAACGCCTCTCCCTTGGACTCTACTGCCTCCGCCCATCTATGAGTCAGGTAGACCAGAAGATCACAGCTGATCGACCCCGACGAAAACCGTATTGGCGGTCACTAATATGCTGGTGATCCTCAATGTACCGCATGAGCTGGCAGTTAATAATGGATTCCATTATTTTGGAGAACAAGGAGGTGATGGCAATAGGCCTGTAGTTGGACGGGTCGGAGCGGTCGCCTTTAGACCGCATCAAGTTTTAATTTAATTTAATTTTTAATCATCTAGGTTTTGTTATAAGTAATTACCTTATATACTTTCATATGCATTTAGTAAAAAGCTGTTATTTTGATATTACAAACAAACACTTCAATTTTATCTGCGGACTTCCAAAAAGGAGACGGTACTCAATTCGACACGTATGTTTTTTTTATGTGTGTTACCTCATAACTTTTTACTGTGTGGACCGATTTCGATGATCTTTTTTTTATATGAAAGCTGATACTTCTCGTGTAGTCCCACATGAATTTGATCAAGGTCAGATCAATAGTTATTGAGTTATTTGAGTTATTCTTAATAACTTATATTGAAGTCGGCTGTACAACATTTTTAATTTTAAATTATTTATTTGTATAGATTATTTGCACTTACGCTTAGGTAGTGTGGTAATAATATTATACCGTTGTAAAATAAGTACTCAATACTATATAATTATTATAAAGTATGGACATTACGCATATAATTATGCAAACATTAGAGTTACGACGATCTGGCAAATATTTTTTTTAATTAATTATAAATGCTGCTATTAAAATATTTTGCATCTTATACTTACTATTTAAAAATACTTATAATTACACGACAAAATAAAAATAAGCTTTAGTGGCAGTGGATCTAAAATAAATACAGTTATTAAATAGGGAGATTGCCTATTTACACTTCTTAGACGTACTAAGAAAATTATAATTATATCTCTCTATCCTTTCTTACTAAAATACTTAAAACTACCAAACTATATTCATGGACACAACAAAAATTATACACATTACTTGTCGTCTTAATTTATTGGAATACTTTCTTAATCTCTATTAACCACTTCATTTTTGAAATAAAATTCTCACCTTGAACATTATCAACGCCAAAGTAACATTAATTAACAAAGTTGTTACACCTTGAACAAGATTCCTATCTATACATATCAAATCGTGTAGCGAGAATATCTGTACGATCATTTCAACGACTGGTCAATTATTTGATCTTAGAATGACCTTCTAAATAAAAGGAAGTGACTATTGATATTAACATTTTATGCTTTGCTATATCCGAACGCAGCAACTTCGTGAAGAAAGGTCATTGTGATATATGCGCAGTAAGGAACTTCCGACATATTAACAGTCATGATATATTGTGGTGTAAGAAAAATATTATAACTTATTCACTAAAATGAAAACGTCTTTAAATATCTGTTCAAGATATCCTTATTAGTAAAGTGCTCATGGATTGGTACAATCTGAAACATCAGAGTGACAAACAAACTTTCTGGCCCCCAGCGTCCATTGCAGACCAATATCAATACCACCCATCACCATCAATAGCTAACTTCGAACAAAGAGACGTACAGCTGAATAGTGGTCACCAAGGACTAAAAGTCTCATAGCTTGAACTTATATGTGGTGTAGCCATGCTGCAGCTATAATATAGTTGTAGCGCGAATGGATCGGCTATGATTTATAAAATAACCTGTGAGGCTACATTTAAACAAAGTGTTACTCTATATAGCATATCTACCATACTGTTGAAATCAAAATAATGCCCCAACAGACCGAATTAGAGACTGGCTGCCTGAGCCATCTGTGCAGAATGTTCAGCACAGTATTATAGTGCACGAGTATGTGCACAAGCACAGGTGCACTCTCTCTCCTTCCCTCACTCTCATCGATAGGACGACAATCTAACACGACCGGGACATAGATCAGGCGCAAAACAGAACAAACGACGAAACTTCCTAACTCCGAGCTACTCAGCGAGATTTTCAAACCCGTAATTCGAAACCGGGACCACATAATCAACAGTTGCGATTTATTAGTATCATCACAGAACAAATAATATTTAAAATAAGTATCATCTAACTGACCACCAATAGAATAACGAGTTAAAAAGACGTCGTAATTAAATAATTTCTTTATTACTGTCAGATTAGTGCAAAAATGCCTAGCTAGTGCAGTGTAGTGGCGGTGTAAGAATATCCACTACCATATATCATCCCATGGGTGTCGTAAGATGCGACAAAGGGAAACAAATCAGGAGATGGGCAGCATCGTCTTCCTAATAACGACTAAAAATAAAAATAAACTGCGGATTACAACGCACTTGCCAAGCGTGGCAACTATAGCAAATATCCCCCCTATGAGGTAATCTATGGGGGTAAGCCTATGTTCAGCAGTGGACTTTAATAGGTTGTAACGGTAAATGTTATTGCACTTGCACTTTTAAACTTAGCTATGAACAGATATTTTAGATTCAAATCGAAAATTTCGTCTCTTGAACGCAAAAAGTATTCAGCGATAATCGACAGTAATATTTTATCCTATTCATTTACTTCATAATAAAGTCAATCGTTTAAATGTTATTACATAAAGTAATAACCTTAAGTGACTTCGGGTTTTTTTGAAGTTCGTACATCCGTCTTCGAATTTTTTATTACATTAAATCATCATCCGTTGTACAGCATTCAATCAAAATAGTTATATTCTTTCAATTATAACTATGTTGAACATTTAAATAAATATGACGTCTTAACAATGTAGTACTTATATTTACATAAAAAGAATACGTTTTATACAATTGGAAGAACTAACGTTACCGCCTATATACGTCACACAGCTGCGGCACAGGCCTCCTCTCATCTTTGATAGGGTTACAGGGTAAGGAAATGTCCGCCGCTTTGGAATGCGTGTTGGCGGACTTCATATGCCTTCAGAAATTTTTTATGCAATTATTAGTTTTTATGCATGGCATCCTTACTTTATTTTATTTACCGCCAGGCAATCAAAATTGCAACTAATATCATCACCCAAAATTACAATTAACAATCTCATTGGTGCTAGCAGCGATATTACTGTGTAAAGGTGGTGTAGTCGTTAGATACAAAACCAGAAAACAGGCAGCATCTTCCTGATAACAATTGAAAATAAAAAACCTGCAGTCCCTAATATCTCGCCTGTGATGCAATCTTTGAACGAGGCCTATGGAATTTACGCTAAACGCATATCTCCTAAGCTTTTCTTTATATAATAAGGATGACAAGGGAGCACACAGTCTACCTGATGGTAAGTGAATGCTGCGGCCTATAGACATCTACATTAATCCTCAATTAAGAATCAAAATCACCTTATTCCCAGTAAAAAGTCATCTACGTTCACTATACGAAACACAGCATTTTTTGCTGTTCCACGCTGATATTCTGTGAGTACGTGGTCTCGGTTGCACCGACCCATACGTGATGCAGCCATAATATTATACTCGTAGCTGCAGCGTGGTTCTACCACGTTAGTTACTACGGCTCTTTGTAATTCGAAGAACTAACTGCATTTTTTTTAACTATTGGCAACAATTATTTAACAAAAACTTTTTAGCAGTTTTTATAAAAACAACAAGTCAATAAAAACTTTTCAAAATAATTTCTTGGTTAATTTGATTCCCTTTTTCACCTATGATCATGTTTTTAATCACGTCTTACAAGATTAATAGTTTCATCACGACAAAATTACTTGTACGCATACGTCACCCACGTGTAGTACGTGTAGGCGCGCACGCGGACCTCACGCGGCAGTCGCAAAATTCACTTACTGAATGTTTAAAAACATGTCCTCAAACATTAGTAGATGTTTGAGGACATAATTCAAAACGTATCACACCGTTTGCTTTCATTGTCTTTTCAAAGTGTTGATCATTGAGTGGCTTATTTCCTACTAAAAATCAACACCAACGTGCGTTAGAGGATTAAGTTTATAAAATTATAACTAATTTTTATTTTGTATGTAAACAGTTGTATCATAGCAAATTTTAGACAACAGAAATGTACAGTAGATAGAAAATCCTTCATTGCCCAAAAATAATGCCATCTGGTGCTGCTTTCCAAAGGATTTTCTATTGTAGGAAGTCGATAAAATATAGTCTTTTTTATAAAATAAGGGTAACAAATGAGGACACAATCCACCTGATATTAAGTAGATACTGTAGTCCATAGACATCTACATCTTCTATCCTCAAATAAGAATCAAAATGTAGATGCGTTGTCACCCCTGAAGACTAAAATTGAATGTCCAGTTAAAAAAGGCTCTTCGGTTCTCTACACTCACCAAACGAAACACAGCAGCCTTAAGCTGGTCTTCTGTGAGAGCATGGTCCTTCTCCGGTCGAGCTGACATAATTCATACTACAGCCATATTTTAGCTACAGCGTGGCTCTACCACGTGCTTAACGCGATTCTGCTCTTTTGAAGCTGACCAATGTACCTCCTGCTAACTAGTTTTGCTGTTGGTTTGCATACTTAATATATGTTGGTGTTATCATGTAAAAAGTTCCGACACGTTTCACTACATGTGTGATTATAACCGACACATATTACGGTATGGTCAAATTATTACAATTTTACGCAGATTTTGCAATAAAACAGCGTACGTGAAGCTGTTTTATTGCCGTTAATGGTTAACTGCATAAGCAAGGTAACAAGTTAAAGATCCGCACAAACTATATAATTTTAACAATATTGTCTTGACATGTTCTTAAGATAGTTTACCACTACAAATTTATACCCAATACAAAAACCAATGGCTGCTTTCCAAGTTATTCATATGGATATAACTGGAAAGCTAGGCACTTCAGATGATCAGCAGTATGTCATAGTCACCATTGACGCTTTTTCGAAGTACGTTCTGCTCTGCTTCGCCAGCAACAAGAACCCACACATTACATTAGCTGCTCTGAAACTCACTGTACATCTATTCGGTACACCAATTCAAGTAATAGTCGATGGAGGAAGGGACTTCCTTGGCGAGTTCAAAGACTATTGTGACCACGCTGGAATAAATATTCACGCCATAGCTCCAGAAGTAAGCCGAGCGAATGGTCAAGTAGAAAGGGTTATTGCAACTCTCAAAAATGAATTGGTGATGATTAAAAACTACGAAGCAGAGCAGTGGCACACTACGCTTGAGGAACCGCAATTAGCAATGAACTGTACAGCTCTATATATCTTATAGTAGCTGGCCAGGCAGACTTTGTTTCGCCCTTTCGAGCGACCCTTTGTCCTATAAAAAATTCTTAAATTCGCAATAAAATGTATTGAGAGTCACTTATCGGGATAAAAGTTATCCTATCTCTCCAGTTGGAGCAAGCAATACACGTTAACAAAATTTCATTACAATCGGTTGAGCGATTTCGATGATTAGCGAGAACGAACATCGTGACACGGGATTTTTATATATTAAAATATTAATATGACACTAGGATACCTTGTCTACTCCATTTACCCGACTCCGGTTTCTGATAATGTTAGTGTTGTTATCCTTTTTGGCTTTTACAGCATCATCGGTCTCAGGACTCGCGGTCATTGGGAAGGATAAGGGCATAAAAAGTGTTATTTTATATTATTCCCAACCTAACATACACGTAACGAATTTCACCTATGACTGTTTACAGTGCACGTATTATCTACAGTCGTCCGAACAGGGGGTAAAGGATGGTATTGTTTTTCGAGGGTATGTATGTATATAGGTCTATTTCTTTGGCACGCTTTATAGCAGAAACTGCTTGATAGATTTTAACATATGAGGTTTCAATAGATTCGTCTTAATTGTACGAGTAAGATAGGCTTTATACTATTTATATATTGTATCTGTAAATAGATCAGTAGCCATATTATAATGGCATTGCATACAATATAATTTTTTGACATTCGATTAGAATATATATTATTATAAATATCCTACTTTGATTAATAATTACATCATTGTTGAATATTCTAATATAATTATGATATAAATAATATAATGAAATAATTTAAATGTGGAAATGTATTAGATATAATTGTAGCTATAATATTTGCATACCTAAGGGTTGAATGCAGCGAACATCATTTTTTTTAAAGATCTGTTGTGTCTTTACCTGTATTCACAAATAAATAAGATTTGATAAAAGTAGGAGAAGCTTTTTTTTTAATATATTACCACAATATTGCTGATAAAGACCTCTCTCACTGTAGGGAGGATCTCTACTTAATAAGCGAAGTGGCGATCGCTGTAGCGGACATATTGCACCTTTGACGCTCCTTCTTGCCCACCAGTTGAAGTATTGTACGTCTGGGTCAAAGTGAAGATTATATCGCAATCTATTGGATGGAATAACACCTTTCTGGAATTTCTCATTGTCGCCTCTTGCGATACTCGCTGAACGAATTGAGGTGATAAATTCTCTTACGCCGTAAGCAAACGTTCGTCCATACGTCATACGTGGTAGGGCCATGCTGCAGCTATATTAGTAGTATAGTTGTAGCACGAGTGGGTCGGCTCGACCGGGGAAGGACCACGCTCTCACAGTATACCAGCGTAAAATAGCAGCATAACGCTGCTGTGTTTCGTATGGTGAGTGTAGAGAACCGGAGACCCTGTTTTACTGGAAACGAGGCATTCTATCTTAGTCCTCGCGGGTGACAGCGCATCTGCATTTTGGTTCGTAATCGAGGATAGATGTAGATGTCAATATGCCATAGCAACCACTTACCATCATCATCAACTGAAATATTTTGTGTTTGTTGTAATTAAATCCTTAAATACGTCTCAATTTTCCAAAATTAAACTTTTTTTTTAAACCGTAGTTATAATACAGTTTTCTCAAAATTTTGAGTCATAATTACTGTTTAAAACCGGAGGTTAAACGAGTTACAGGTAGAAGAGCGGAACGGATCGAAAACGACACAGGCAACGCCAGATAAACCTCGCTACGTGAGTCGACCGCGGCCGTCGAAACCTTGAATACAACCGCGCTCCTTCCCTCTATATAATAATAAGGCGTTCAGTCCGGCCCGAGCCTTTAACGATATAACACGACCGATTGCGACAAACTTAGAACTGGTTCCTAACCTGCGATTCTATACGAATAATGATTCCCGAATGAGCGCTCGAAGAAATATCCCAGTGTTAAATCAAAAAATGCAGTGACACAAACTTGTATTACTTAGTGTATGTGATGTGCTTATTGTGCCAATATTAACGTGCTCTTATAGGAATTAATCACCAATAAATAAATTAAAAGGTGGGTAGTATTTATATAAGTTTGACTAGTATTCATAGGCGCGCCACATACATACGGAATTTCGTTTCGGGATTCCGTTTCGATATTCCGATTCGAGATTCCAAACGCAGCAAGTTCATATAAAATATATGACCGGTCACACACGTACGGTAGTTTTCCGTTCGAATTTTTGCGGGAAAAATGGAATTCCGTATGTGTGTGGCCGACCCGTTCGGAATATCGAAACTGAATGCCGAAACGGAATTCCGTTTGTGTGTGACCGACCATAACGCCTTGTACTCATAACTAAATAATTTTATTTTGAATCATTAAAAACCTGTTTATTAATAAAGTAAAGTGCCCCAAAATATGTCGCTTCGATCAAAGATAATGCTTATTGTAATGAAAAAAGCTACCCGCAAGTTTAAAAATAATTTGCATTTTATCTCAGACAGCAGATTACCGACCGCATTAAAAATAATATCTCATTTACGTTCCTTATGCCGACCACATACATACGGAATTCCGTTTCGAGATTCCGTTTCGGAATTCCGAACGAGTCGGCCACACACATACGGAATCCCGTTTTGCCCGCAAAATTTCGAACGGAAAACCATCGTACGTGTGTGGCAGGTCATAGATTTTATATGAACTTGCTGCGTTTGGAATCTCAAATCGGAATATCGAAACGGAATCCCGAAACGGAATTCCGTATGTATGTGGCCGGCCTTATAGTACTAGTAGTTATTAACCCTAAGTTCTATCATATCGATATATGAAACCGTGTACCATAACCAATACCACAAACATATTTTAATAATATTTCATCCAATTAGATAGGTAAGCAATTCGAAACATGAGTAATATATTAAGACTTGTATAAGAGCCTTGTAATACTGTAATTACTAATTAAGAAATCAGATGTTTACTTGTTTCAACAAATCCAGGCTATCAAAATACAGTATTATACGCTTTCTAAAATAATCATATTAACAATACGATTAAATATTTTACGTGTGCCTTGCTTTATTTACAAAATCATATACTGAACGTTATCGTCCACTCGGTGATCGTTGTAATTTGAGATATTATCAGCATATATATCACAGTCATGACACGTCCTGTTTCTATTAAGACATGCTTGTTATACGTTATTTCCTTAGATTACAGAAACATTGTGTAACTGCCGGTTTTAACTCATACCACCGGAAATCAAATATTTTCAATGTCAGTCATTTTAGATGGAGAAGACCTTCGATTCGCATAAATATATACCGATACGCTGTTTTGATGAATTTTATGTTTGTTTTTACGATGATTTATAAGTATACTTTTAATAAACAAATTAGATGTATTTTTATTTATTAATAATAGACTTATTTTAATAAAAATAACTATATTGTAAGCTTAAAATTATTAATACTAAATTTTACACTAAACCTTTTTATATTTCCCTGGAGTTTTGTCTGTCAGCTGTGCATATTTACAAGGAAATTTATGCTGCATAACAAAATAAAATAAAGAAAGTACATATTAATAACAGTGGTAGAGCCACGTGGCAGCTTTTGCTGTCGCACGCATGAGCCGGCTCGAACCGGGTTGGTAACACGACCTCACAGAAATCCAGCTTGAAGTAGAGGTTTACCTCTGCGTTTCGCTTGGTGAGTGCAGGTGGCCGGAGGCCCTATTTACTGGAAATGAGGCATTCCATCTTAGTCCTCACGGGTGACAACGCATCTACATTTTGATTTGTAATAGAGGATAGATGTAGAAGTCTATGGGCCGCAGCAACCACTTACACTTAGGTGAACTGTGTGCTCGTTTGTCACCCTTATCGTATAAAAAAAATATATGTCAAAACATACAAAATATCTAACGAAATGAATGCTAAATACATTAACTTGTTAAGAATTAAGTTGGTCTTAGCATTTTTTCTATTTTTATCATATCTCCAACACTTATTCAATACAATAGCAAATAAAATATATTTATATATCGTGTTGTTCAAAGTTTAAATACAAGGCGTTTGTTCGATTTGTTATCAAAATGATTTATTATATAATAATAAAAAAATCGACCTTAATGTTTGTTAATAAAAAATTCCTAAATTTATGTGATCATCTAAATTACTGGCAACTGTTAGCCAGGCACTGGCAATTGTAAATTGTCTGTTTCTAATACGGTAGGTCTTAGTGGCATCAACAACGCATTTGCAGAAATACAATCAATCTTCCTTAGTCATGCGGTATCGTAACTTTGAGTTCTAAAGGCAACACAATCAAACCAAACTGCAACAACATGACTAGATAATCTTGAATAAGGCTGTCTCTGTTAACTCTTAACCCGTAGACGATGTTATAATAATAGTAACCCGGATATGAACATAAGAGTTAAACGCAATAAAGTTTAAAATGTTTGTATTTTGCACAGCTTTGTATTAGAATCTAAAGTGTACAAATCTTTATTGGATAAATATATTTGTCCATGAAAGTATGTTATTTAAGTGAAACTGTCAAGGAAGTGTTCTCCGCGCTGCCACAATGTGTGTTGGCAGACTTCACATGTCTTCAAAACATGTTTTTTATTTTTCAGACATGCAGGTTTTCTTACAATCTTTTCCTTCATCGCAGGACACGTAGTAAGTCAATTTAAAGTTGCAATTACATTTTAATTGGTTCCTGGTAGGTCGCGTTTTGCGGCAAATCTTTAACCTCTGCGCCACCATAGCTCAAGGGTTCATAGGGCTATTCTGTTAGCAGTTGTTTAAATCATAGGATCTATAGGAATTTACAACTATCTTGGAACTAAATAAAACTAATTAATAGAATCAGGCGTTACTTTGCGGAAATCCATTATAATGGGGTTATTATAAACTAATTTGCTTAATTCCGCGTAAAGAAAGAAAATGATGTGTCCTGCATAGTTTTGATTTCGATTGAGGGAGGGTGGGAGGTCCCCTTAAAACGGGTCC